CACCTGTATGAATTCTTTTGTGGTCCTTTAAATTACCAATTCGAGAGAAACTCTTCCCACATATCTGGCATGAAAAAGGCCTCTCACCTGTATGAATTGTCTTGTGACGATTTAAAATACTCATTAGACAGAAACTCTTTCCACATATCTGGCATGAAAAAGGTCTCTCACCTGTATGAATTCTTTTGTGGTCCTTTAAATGACCAATTCGAGAGAAACTCTTCCCACATATCTGGCATGAAAAAGGTTTCTCTCCTGTATGAGTTTTCTTGTGACTATTTAAAACATAACTTGTAGAGAAACTCTTTCCGCATGTTTCACATGAAAAAAGTCCCTCACCAGTGTGGGTTCTGTAATGGTTTTTCAACTTATAATGTTGGGTGTAACGTCTCCCACAAATGTCACATTTGAAAGGTCTTTTCTTTGTGCCAGTATCAGACTGACTCTCTGACTCGGAGGAGCTGCTTCCTTCCTGATCTTTGCTCTCAACCACTGGAGAGATATGAAGGGAAAGCTGCTCTGTTCTTGTCTCTTCTTCATTCACATCATCTCCCTGAAGAGTAGAAGTCTCAATCAAAGCAACAAACTGCTTCTGGACAAGCTGCTCTCCCTCCTGACTGCTGCAGAGGTCCTTCTGGTCCTGTCCAGTTGGTAAATGTTCTGGTGGCTGCTGTTCATGTTGAAGCACTGAAGAATCTAGCTCCTCTTTTCTTACGTATGTTAGTGGATATTCTATTTCCTCGTGTTTGAGCAGTGCAGGTTCTGGTTCCTCCTCTTCTATTTTAATCCAATTTGTTCCTGGTTCTATCTGTTCCTCTTCAGTCCACTGATGTTTTTTCTGGTCCTGACTGGACCTACTTGCCAGGCTCCAGACTTGTTGGATGGCAGAATCTTCTTCCTCATAGGAGACACTTGGCTGTTGGAGGTCTGTGGGAACAAGAACGACATAATTAATATAATTTAATTGATTGTTATCTCATGGATCAGCCTGGCTTGTCCTGGAGATTCTGGTCTGTAGGCATCATACGGTTCAACTAAAATTAGTTTGTAGAGTTTCACACATTCAGCAGAGTGAAATAAAAATTACTTTAATACTTTACTGTTAAAAGCTGATTTCTTTCTCATTTTTGCAACAGACACAGCTTGCTCTGTGAACATAGCCATATTTCCAAAATGACAAAAAATACACATTAAAATGTATTAATGTTCAATTTAACAGTCTTGAGGATTTTGCAGTTTTAGCCTCAGCTGGACTTAGGCAGGATTAGTTTTCATCTGCTAGATCAGGGCTGTGCAACCTGCAGCTCTGTGACTCGCTTAATATAAATGAGTCAAACATTTTTTGTTTCTTACGTTTGTTATGTGCCCATATGAAAAAAACAACAGCTCATCCTGCCTCTCCCCCTCTCCTTCCTAATAACCTCCATTGCAGTTTTCAGACCTGGAGGCATAGGCGTAAAACCCAGGGGGTGGTCGGGGGAGTCTGGACCATAGACATGAATACGTAGACGCCTCATGGAGCGCTGAGTCATACGTAACAGCGTCCGCCATCCTCTATGTGGCAGCAGGGCGATCGGAGCTCCTTAAGTCCTGTGCTGTGTGAACTTGTTTCAGCCGTTTTATGAAACAAACTGGATTCATTGGCATTACCTTTCACAGGTAAGGATGAAAGATGAGAATTACTTGACTTTGCAGCGAGAAATTCACTTTTAAATAAATATGTTCTTTAATAAAACACTGTAAAAGTGTGTCTGTTCATCAATGTCAATATAAAAATCAGAATAATTTCTATCAAACAAAGACATTGTGCTCTTTATTCAGAAATGCCCCAAAACAATGAATCACTTCAAAAGTTAGAAACTCTGTCTTTAGTAATTTCTTTGATTACCAAATGTATTAGTGTGTGTGAGAAAATGTGTCAATGACGGGTATTAACTTAAAAAACTTTGTAGAACGGCACTTTCTGAAGTTCGGTCCATTTACTTGTATTAGCTTACTGGCAGAGAAGCCACATTCAATATGGCGGACGCTGTGACGTATCGCAGCAACGGGCCGACCCGCTCCATGAGGCGTATTCATGACTATGGTCCGGACCCCCTGCAATAAATCAATATTTATGAGGAATTTTATTAAGCGGCATTATCATTTTAGAAACACCACACAATCGAAGTCGTCTAAGAAAATAGAGACTATCGCCGCTGACGGATCTCTGTCTGCTGTGAAAACATCAGCACCTTTATCCAGACCTACCAGAACTTTGTCTCTGCAGCTCCGAACCGACTCTGTGTAGCTTAATTTGTGGTTTCCAGTCGATCCCCATCATCCTGCGCTGAGCATCGAGCTCTTCCTCGTAGCAAATGATGGTTTTTTCAACCTCTGTGAAGATTTCTTGAGCAGCAGCAGTTAGTCGCTCTCTGATAAACTCTCTGAGATGCTGAACTGAAGACATGGTTGCTGAAATATTAGCTCAGATGAGACAAAGCAGCAGTTTTCTAGCTTAGCGTATTCAGGTTTCTTCTTCTTTTCTATTATGGCGGATCGAAAGCAACTTTAAGCTATGCTGCCACCTACTGTACGTGCGCGTGTAGCAACATTAGCAACATCCATCCACCCTGGTCCCTAGTGGGGTCGGGAGGGTTGCTGGTGGCTATCTCCATCTAACGTTCCGGGCGAGAGGCGGGGTACACCCTGGACAGCACAGAGACAGACAGGACAAACAACCATGCACACACACACACTCATACCTGGGGATAATTTAGAGACCAATTAACCTAATCATGTTTTTGGACTGTGGGACAAACCCAGAGTACCCGGAGAGAACCCACGTATGCACAGGGAGAACATGCAAACTCCATGCAGAAACACCATAAGCCTGAAATTAACCCAGAACCTTCTTGCTGCAAGGCAACAGCTCTACCAACTGCGCCACTGTGCAGCCCACAGTTTTTTAAATTTACAAATTAATTCTTAATTTTAGAGCATTCATGCAATGAAGAACTCATTGTACATTAAGAAAATATGTTTCTAATCTCACTTGAAACCTCCAGAGTAACCTCACTTTTTAAAGTTGATCAGACTGTAGAAACTTTAATCAGTAGAACATGGCATTCTGGGCCTTTGGATTACAAATGTGATCAGACACAGAGACTTGTTTCTCTAAGCCACTATTCAATAAATACAAAGAAGAGGGCATTTCTTTTAATTAGGTGGCTGTCTTGATGTTCAAAAGGAAGTGGATGCAAGAGAAGATTGAAAAGTCCGGTCTAAAATTTAAACCTATTCATTACTGCTCAGACTGTACATTTAAACAACTGGAAACGTGAGAAACAAAGCTCGGACGGGTTTATCTCAACACCAAACACTGAGGAGGATGGTGTTACACATCTTCAGTAAGAGAACTGAAGCAAAGAGGAACATCCTGGAGTCATCAGGTCTCCATAGCAACCATAAGACAACACTTCCATGAAAACTGTTTGGGAGAAATAACACAAAGAATAATGTCCTCTCATCAAGGTTGGAGTCACCTGATCAATCTAACTGGGAAATGTCTCACAGAACCCATGTGTTTAATGATATATTTCATTAAACACATTTGAGAAATGTAGATTTGCAAAAACCATTTGCATGTTTCTACTTTGACACAATTTGGCCAGTAGAACTGGTCTGGGACCCTGAACTGAAGGGATAAAACTAAATTATTATTTACCATAACTAACTGGTGCTTTAAACCAATTTTATTTTTTTACCTTCAACAATAAATTAAAATGAAGATGTAGCATTTTAGCTTCAGCAAAACATGTAGCATTTTAGCTTCAGCAAAACAAAACAAAAGGAAATGTATGAGAGATCAGGCTGGATGAGTTTCTGTCAACACCACACACTGAGGAGGAGTGGGTCTGTGGCTCACCATTTTTGTTCCATCTGTTTGTTCTGCGCCCATATGAAAAAAACACAGCTCATCCTGCTTCTCCTCATCTCCTTACCAATACTCTCCACTGCTCTATTCAGACTAAGAAACGAGATATTTTCTCCCTGTTGCTCGTTGTTATCTCGTCTCCCATCCATCCATCCATTTTCTGCCGCTTATCCGGGATCGGGTCGCAGGGGCAGCAGCTTCAGAAGGGAGGCCCCTTCTCCCCAGGTCCATTAATGTCGTGTGCANACATCAATACGTAGACGCCTCATGGAGCGCTGAGTCATACGTAACAGCGTCCGCCATCTTCTATGTGGCAGCAGAGCGATCGGAGCTGTTAAGTCCTGTGCTGTGTGGACTTGTTTCAACCGTTTTACGAAACAAACTGTATTCATTCGCATTACCTTTCACAGGTAAGGATGAAAGATCAGAATTACTTGACTTTGCAGCCAGAAATTCGCTTTTAAACAACCGAAAAATATNTCCTATGTAGCTAAATTGGCCCGAAATAACCGCTGATTGTTAGCTTAGCAGCTAATGTTTTCATACTGTTTTCTAATGAGAGGTGATGAGAAACCGCTGTTAGAGGAGAAGTTCATTAAAAACCAGAGGATTTAGTGAGGAAAGGTCAGTCAGGATCAGAGCTGGAGCTGCTGTTCTTCAGTCTGTTTCCCAGCTCAGCTTCACCATGTTGATATATTTAGCTATAAAGATGCTACGAGTCAGAGCCAACATGCTGAAAATGTATTTTTATGAATGTGAAAGAAACATATCGTATGTATTTTCTATTACACTTTTGGATAATTTCTCTTTTATCCTTGGCTTTAGCCTGTGAACCAGGATGTCTCAGAAATCATTGAGTTCTCCCAGTGTGACCAGCAGACTGAAGCCTGTGGCCAGTGTTCCCAGTATAATAAATAAATGTTTTATTCTTTCACTTTTTGTGTATTTTTAAATATCTCAATCTGAAGTATTAGTGTATTAATGTAGCTTATGTAATGAAATAAAAAATAATTTACTCTGTTAAAATTATTTTCACTCTTTGCTGTCAATAGCAGAGTTGACATACTGTAAATTCTCTGGAAAAAAATAAGAAAAAGATGTAGTTTAATGTTTGACAATGAGTGATTTATAAATCAAAAGTCATTTCTCAATAACGTATAAAAAATAAATACAGGAAAATTATTTGTTTCTTGTCTTGAAATGTTAAATGTACATTAAATTATGGAATTATGTAAATATATTCTTTAATAAAACACTGTAAAAGTGTGTCTGTTCATCAATGTCAATATAAAAATCAGAATAATTTCTATCAAACAAAGACATTGTGCTCTTTATTCAGAAATGCCCCAAAACAATGAATCACTTCAAAAGTTAGAAACTCTGTCTTTAGTAATTTCTTTGATTACCAAATGTATTAGTGTGTGTGAGAAAATGTGTCAATGACAGGTATTAACTTAAAATACTTTGTAGAACGGCACTTTCTGAAGTTCGGTCCATTTACTTGTATTAGCTTACTGGCAGAGAAGCCACATTCAATATGGCGGACGCTGTGACGTATCGCAGCAACGGGCCGACCCGCTCCATGAGGCGTATTCATGACTATGGTCCGGACCCCCTGCAATAAATCAATATTTATGAGGAATTTTATTAAGCGGCATTATCATTTTAGAAACACCACACAATCGAAGTCGTCTAAGAAAATAGAGACTATCGCCGCTGACGGATCTCTGTCTGCTGTGAAAACATCAGCACCTTTATCCAGACCTACCAGAACTTTGTCTCTGCAGCTCCGAACCGACTCTGTGTAGCTTAATTTGTGGTTTCCAGTCGATCCCCATCATCCTGCGCTGAGCATCGAGCTCTTCCTCGTAGCAAATGATGGTTTTTTCAACCTCTGTGAAGATTTCTTGAGCAGCAGCAGTTAGTCGCTCTCTGATAAACTCTCTGAGATGCTGAACTGAAGACATGGTTGCTGAAATATTAGCTCAGATGAGACAAAGCAGCAGTTTTCTAGCTTAGCGTATTCAGGTTTCTTCTTCTTTTCTATTATGGCGGATCGAAAGCAACTTTAAGCTATGCTGCCACCTACTGTACGTGCGCGTGTAGCAACATTAGCAACATCCATCCACCCTGGTCCCTAGTGGGGTCGGGAGGGTTGCTGGTGGCTATCTCCATCTAACGTTCCGGGCGAGAGGCGGGGTACACCCTGGACAGCACAGAGACAGACAGGACAAACAACCATGCACACACACACACTCATACCTGGGGATAATTTAGAGACCAATTAACCTAATCATGTTTTTGGACTGTGGGACAAACCCAGAGTACCCGGAGAGAACCCACGTATGCACAGGGAGAACATGCAAACTCCATGCAGAAACACCATAAGCCTGAAATTAACCCAGAACCTTCTTGCTGCAAGGCAACAGCTCTACCAACTGCGCCACTGTGCAGCCCACAGTTTTTTAAATTTACAAATTAATTCTTAATTTTAGAGCATTCATGCAATGAAGAACTCATTGTACATTAAGAAAATATGTTTCTAATCTCACTTGAAACCTCCAGAGTAACCTCACTTTTTAAAGTTGATCAGACTGTAGAAACTTTAATCAGTAGAACATGGCATTCTGGGCCTTTGGATTACAAATGTGATCAGACACAGAGACTTGTTTCTCTAAGCCACTATTCAATAAATACAAAGAAGAGGGCATTTCTTTTAATTAGGTGGCTGTCTTGATGTTCAAAAGGAAGTGGATGCAAGAGAAGATTGAAAAGTCCGGTCTAAAATTTAAACCTATTCATTACTGCTCAGACTGTACATTTAAACAACTGGAAACGTGAGAAACAAAGCTCGGACGGGTTTATCTCAACACCAAACACTGAGGAGGATGGTGTTACACATCTTCAGTAAGAGAACTGAAGCAAAGAGGAACATCCTGGAGTCATCAGGTCTCCATAGCAACCATAAGACAACACTTCCATGAAAACTGTTTGGGAGAAATAACACAAAGAATAATGTCCTCTCATCAAGGTTGGAGTCACCTGATCAATCTAACTGGGAAATGTCTCACAGAACCCATGTGTTTAATGATATATTTCATTAAACACATTTGAGAAATGTAGATTTGCAAAAACCATTTGCATGTTTCTACTTTGACACAATTTGGCCAGTAGAACTGGTCTGGGACCCTGAACTGAAGGGATAAAACTAAATTATTATTTACCATAACTAACTGGTGCTTTAAACCAATTTTATTTTTTTACCTTCAACAATAAATTAAAATGAAGATGTAGCATTTTAGCTTCAGCAAAACATGTAGCATTTTAGCTTCAGCAAAACAAAACAAAAGGAAATGTATGAGAGATCAGGCTGGATGAGTTTCTGTCAACACCACACACTGAGGAGGAGTGGGTCTGTGGCTCACCATTTTTGTTCCATCTGTTTGTTCTGCGCCCATATGAAAAAAACACAGCTCATCCTGCTTCTCCTCATCTCCTTACCAATACTCTCCACTGCTCTATTCAGACTAAGAAACGAGATATTTTCTCCCTGTTGCTCGTTGTTATCTCGTCTCCCATCCATCCATCCATTTTCTGCCGCTTATCCGGGATCGGGTCGCAGGGGCAGCAGCTTCAGAAGGGAGGCCCCTTCTCCCCAGGTCCATTAATGTCGTGTGCAAGAGTAAAACCACAAAGACAACAGTCACTATTCAACTTCACAGTCACCCATAATTTTATTCAACCAATCAAATGCATAAAATCACATCAACAATGCATAAAACACATCTGAGGAGGATGCTAAAAGCGTCCTGATTGGCTACTTTGCAAAAGTCAGTCAGTAGCACGTCAAGTAGCATAGAGCTTCAATATGTACACTTCCAAACCAGTTTAAGTGGTTTTGAATATTCTCAATATTCTTTATCAAATTTCACAAAATTTGCTAAAAAACAATCCATAAATGAACAACCAAAAATAGGTGAGGGTCTAATGTTTTGCAAAGTGAAACAGTCCAAGACAGTTTAATATTTATTACAGTGAATATGTGTGAGTTAATGACTAATTCTCATGTTTGTGTCTTTCTGTTATGTGGAAATTCAGTTTACCAGCATGAAAGAACACTTTTTCTCCATATTTCATGTGGAAAAACCCATCTCATCCATGTGGGTTATAATGAGAATAATTACGTGACCAATTTCAAAGACTTTTTTTTTCACAGGTTTGGCTTCAAAGCGCCAATTGGCATGTATGGGTTTTCATGTGAATGACCAAATAATCCCTTCGATTGAAGCTTTTTTCACAAGACTGGCATGAAAAAAGCTTCTCACCTGTATGAATTGTTTGGTGACGATTTAAATGGCTAATTCTTGAGAAACTTTTTCCACATGACTGGCACAAAAAAGGTCTCTCACCTGTATGAATTCTTTTGTGGTCCTTTAAATTATCAATTCGAGAAAATCTCTTTCCGCATGCCTGGCATGAAAATGGTTTCTCTCCTGTATGAGTTTTCTTGTGACTATTTAAAACATTAATTAGTGAGAAACTTTTTCCACATGTTTCACATGAAAATGGTCTCTCGCCAGTGTGGGTTCTGTAATGTTTTTTCAATTTACACTGTTGTGTATAACATCTCCCACAAATGTCACATATGAAAGATCTTTTCTTTGTGCCAGTATCAGACTGACTCTCTGACACAGAGGAGCTGCTTCCTTCCTGATCTTTGCTCTCAACCACTGGAGAGATATGAAGGGAAAGCTGCTCTGTTCTTGTCTCTTCTTCACTCATATCATCTTCCTGAAGAGTAGAAGTCTCAATCAAAGCAACAAACTGCTTCTGGACAAGCTGCTCTCCCTCCTGACTGCTGCAGAGGTCCTTCTGGTCCTGTCCAGTTGGTAAATGTTCTGGTGGCTGCTGTTCATGTTGAAGCACTGAAGAATCTAGCTCCTCTTTTCTTATATAAGTTAGTGGATATTCCAATTCCTCATGTTTGAGCAGTGTAGGGTCTGGCTCATTCTCTTCTTTTTTAATCCATTTTGGTTCTAGTCCCATCTGTTCCTCTTCAGTCCACTGATGTACTTTCTCGTTATGATTGAACTTGTTTGCCAGGCTGAAGTCTTGTTGAATGCCAGAAACTTCTTCCTCATATGAGACACTTGGCTGTTGGAGGTCTGTGGGAACAAAGGATTACGTCATTAATATAATTTAATTGATGACTATCTCATGGATCAGCCTGGTTTTCCCTGGAGATTTTGGTCTGTAGGCATCATACGGTTAATCTAAAATTAGTTTGTAGAGTTTAACGGAAAAGTAGGTAAAATGTCCTTCACATTAATTGGAAGCCAGGGCAAAAAAATTCAAAATATTTTAATTCACAAATAGTTTAATACAGATTTTTTGTTTTTGTTTTTACAATTAAATATTTAATTTTAGGGCATTCATTCAGGGAAGAACACATCGTACCATAAGACAATATGCTTTAAATGTTACTTGTAACCTCACTTTTTAAAGTTGATCAGACCATGTAGAAACTTAAATGATTAAAACATGGCATTTTGGTTCTCTGGATTACAAATGTGATGAGACACAGAGACTTGTTTCTCTAATCTACTGTCTAAGAGAAGAAAGAGAAGAGAGCATTTTCTTTAATAAGGTAGATGTCTTGATGTTCAAAAGGAAGTGGATCCAAGAAAATATTGAAAAGACTGGCCTAAAATGAAAACCTATTAATTATTGCTTAGATAGTAGATTTAGATTAGTAAATGGAAGTGTGAGAGATGAGGCTGGATGAGTTTCTCTCAACACCACCCACTGAGGAGGACGGTGATATGGGTCAAAAAAATCTCCAGGTCTCCCTGGCCCGGTCCCAATACCCCAGCTGCACCCCACACGCCTCTATGAAGTGTGAACTCAATTGGAGAGTACATAAGGGTTCAAGTGCGTAGAGAATTTGGACAGTTCGCCCCTGTGTCCTAACTTCACCATCCAAAATGGCAAGACTATTCACTTGTACAAGTACTTGTGCTGCTAAAAAGCCTTGCTACTACAACAACAAAAAATATTTTAAATGTACAGTTTAGGTTTTTTTGCCTTCCAAATTCATTGCTGCAGATATTTGACAGTTCATATGCGTTTTATGACTTGTTGAATACAGAGCAAAATTTGATTTAATAACACATTCAGCAAAGTGAAATAAAAATTATTTCAATACTTTACTTTCAAAAACTGATTTTATCAGTTTTTTGCAATAGACATAGCTTGCTCTCTGAAATACACATTAAAATGTATTAATATTCAATTTAACAGTCTTGAGGATTTTGCACTTTTAGCTTCAGCTGGATTTAGATAGGAATACAGTTTTGCTCTGCTAGATCAGGGCTGTGCAACCTGCAGCTTTGTCACTCACTTAATATAAGAAACAATGATATATTGCATGTTTTTTTTTTGTTTTTTTCCCCCCATACGTTTGTTCTGTGCCCCTATGAGAAAAACAGCAGCTCATTCTGCGTCTGAATACTGAATGCAGGTTATTAGGCAGGACTTAATAACCTGCATTTCAGTATTCAGACCTGTAGGTGTGTGAGCAGAAGTGATGGGTAGATGAGGCGTCATGTAGCGTTTCGACCCATAGCAAAACTGTATTGATACTGTGTCACTGAATACTGACACCTGCTGGACATTAAAAATCCCTACAGGCAACGTAGTTGACAGACTGATTTGATTAAGTCTATACAATAAGACCCAAGTCTTTGTATTTTATTGTATATTATATATTGTATTATGTCATATCTTCAGTTAAATTTAAAATATATTTGATATTCTTAGATACAGTCAATAAATAATGTGAACATGTAACAAAGTGAAAAATTTAAGTGAACGTGTTTGGAATGAGGATGCTTGTGGATTTTATTTTATTTTTTCACATTGCATTCCAGATTTCTAGCACTTATAACAATTGGAATAATAAATTTAGTCAAGGAGCTCGACTCATAAACACATTTTCTGTTTGTGCTGTAACATTTTGTCATGAGCTACAAAGCCATCAACCTCTGTAGCATCAGAGCTAGCAGCTAAATCAGTTCCCGTTTAGCAGCAGCTGGAGCTGCAGCAACTATCGCCGCTGACGGATCTCTGTCTGCAGTGAAAACATCAGCACCTTTATCCAGACCTACCAGAACTTTGTCTCTGCAGCTCCGAACCGATTATTTCTGGTTTCCAGTCGATCCCCATCATCCTGCGCTGAGCATCGAGCTCTTCCTCGTAGAAAATGATGGTTTTTTCAACCTCTGTGAAGATTTCTTGAGCAGCAGCAGTTAGCCGCTCTCTGATAAACTCTCTGAGATGCTGAACTGAAGACATGGTTGCTGAAATATTAGCTCAGATGAGACAATGCAGCAGCTACCTAGCTTAGCCCATGCAGTTTTTTTCTTCTTCTTCTTCTTCTGCTCCTCCTCTAATATGGCGGATCGAAAGCAACTTTAAGCTATGCCGCCACCTACTGTACATGAGTGTGTAGCAACATTAAGTCCATTAAATTACATTTTTTACATTTTCTATTTTGAAGATAAATAATGCTTTCCTTAATCTGTAAATATCCACTATGTTTCCTTCATTTCCCAATATTCCCTTAAGACTCCATTTCTGTCCTCCTAAACATTCTTCTCAATCTCTCTTTCAGGCTCATGTTTTACAATTCATCAATACATGTTCTACATTTTCTTTCTCTCTATATCCTTCACTTTTATCATTACTTTTCCTAACAGACATAAAATGTCATTTAGATAGTTATGACCGACTCTTAATCTCATCATTTATTCCTGCCACAAGGGGGCAGCATCAGTCCACAGAGTCAATCTCGTTAAAATGTGCAGTATGCATCTACGTGTCAAACTCCAGTCCTCAAGGCCTACTGCCCTGCAGTTTTTAGATGTGTCACAGGTACAAAACGCTGGAATGAAATGGCTTAATTACCTCCTTCTTGTGTAGATAAGTTCTCCAGAGCCTTGCTAATGACCTAATTATTCTACTCAGGTGTGGTGCAGCAGAGGCACATCTAAAAGTTGCCGGACACCGGCCATTGAGGACTGGAGTTTGAGACATCTGATCTACGTCATCGTCTGTTTTAGGGAAGTTTAGCCCCTCTAGATATTGATCAATAGTATATTTGATCATACAAGGAATTTGCCATCTTGAAATTTTATACAAAACAATAAAAAAATGCCTGTTTGAGTCTCACATTAAGCTCTGCAGTTTGTTGGGCATCAAGTCATCGGTGAGAATCAGCAGAATAGCAATTTTACGAATCAAAATTAGTATCAGTATTAACTATGATAAAAAAAATGTTTTTTTTTACTAATGAAATGAGTTTATTTTGTTGAATCGCAGAATGAATTCCAGTATCTCTGGAATCAAAAGTCAAACCTGAAAGTTACCTCTGAAGGAATTAATTCAAAGTACCGACAGAAGAAACTCTTCAAGCAAAAAGGAACGATCACAGATTGATTGGAAACTTCTGTTTCCAATCAAGTCAGAGTTTATTAACAAAACAGCCAAACTGAATTATCTGAAAAATAACTTTTCTCCAACTACTGACATGTTATTTAGCTAAGGATGGAAAAGACATCTAGTGATAAACTGGGGATCAAAGCAAATTAATAAAATGATAAACAGAAGTGGGATACTGAAAAATAACTTAAAATCTAATTAATTAAAACAAGAAAAATGTACCAGTAGAACCACAGTGCATTTAGATAAAGTATTACAATCAGCCTGACCCCTGCAGTGAGGGAAAGGAAGTGGAGGAAACAGAAGTTGGTGGTCATACCTCAAAACTGAAACTGTGATTAAAATTCACATAAAATTAAACTGATTTAAAACAAAATAAACGTTTACAGAAGTCAACAAATGTAACTGTAAAGCTTCAACATCATGTTTGTGGAACAATGTTCACTAAGTTTTTGTTATAACCCTGCAGCAGATCATTTAGATTTACAAAAATCTGTTCCTCCACAGTACGGTTGAAGTCTGGCCTTTGACTAGGCCGGGTTCTCCTTCACCAAGTCCTTGAGAGCTACTACCCTGAAGGTTTTAGGTCATAAACCCATCATTCTTTAATACCCGAGAATACTTGAGAAACTAAAATGGTGTAAAAACAAAGTCTATTTTAACAATTCAAACAACAAATATGAGTAGAATCATCTTGGGACAACAGCAGAAACGTAACATCAGATGTTTTCCAAGTCTGCTATGCAGGGTACAGCCAATCAGCAGAAAGAGAAAATGAATGCTGCTTTAGGATTGGCTCCTTTGCAAATATCAGCTAGTAGCATGTCAAGTGACATAGCACCATAACATTTCAACTTCAAAACCAGTTGAATATTTTTAATATTCTTTAGGAAATTTCACAGATATACTCCGCAATAAAAAAAAAAAAATCCAATAATGGGTATCTAAAACATTAGGTGAGGGTCTAATGTTTTGCAAAGTGGAAACAATCCAAGAAATGGTTAAATATTTATTATAGTAACTCTGTGTGAGGCAAATGATTAATTTTCACTTTTGTGTCTTTTATTTGGAAATCCAGTTTACCAGCATGTAATAACACTTTTTACCCCATATTTCATGTGAACCATCTATCTCACCCATGTGGCCTCTAATGAACATCTTTCCACAGGTTTGGCTTCAATCAATCAATCAAATTTTATTTATTTACTTCAGGGACGGCAGTGTGTCGGTTGGTCTGCGTTACCCAAAAAGCAGTTGGGCAAAATATCACAACACCAGCACTGTGAGTAAAACAATGACTGGGGCAGCCTACAGCTAAAGTAATGCAACTTTCTGACCAAAAACAACCAATCAGAACCAGGAGGAGGGTCTTAGTGCTGTCAATCAAGCAGCACATTTAACACAAATGTGCTAAATGTGCTAACACATTTAGCACATTTAGCAATGTGCTAAATGTACATATTTAGCACATTGCTAAATGTGCTAATGGTGGAGAAACTACTTATTGTTACAGGAAAATTGTTTATCTGCCATCACTGGTAGCTATGCTTACTAGACTAAGCATTCACAACAGGCTATGCTAGCTGCAGAATAGCACAGAGCGAGGGGGAGGGAGGATGAGCAGCACCACATGAGATTGTGATTGACGGCACTAAAACACTCCTGCCACTGACTGGTTGTTTCTAGAGAGCACTGGGAGAAAGCAGAGGATTTTTCACAGATTATCTCTCATACCATACTGTCACAACATAATGACAGTTTTAAAAAATATGTGGAAAAAAAAATAAACGTTACATAATGCAGCTTTAATTTCACCTAGGAGAGGGAAGGTCAGGAGGGACCTGGGTTAGAGCTGCTGCTGACTGCCTCATCTGTTAAATGGTAAAAGGTACAGGGACAAGTTAAATATATGAATATCTTGGTATTTCTTTTCCTTAATTCATTAAATGCAAGTGAAAAGGAGGCAAACAGTAGTCTGTAGCTAAGCTAACTATGCTAAATGGTTGATAATCTCACCAAGTCTACTCATCTATCGGAGAACTGGGTTAAAATTCACACTCTTATCTCTCTCTCTCTTCCCCTCTCTATTTTTCTCTGTTTTTGAACCTAATTTTATAATTTTTCTTAGCAGGATTATAACTGCCACAGTCATTATTGTCTTATACTGACTGCAGCTGAACAGTGTCACCGTCAAGCGCACTGAGCAGGAACGAACCATGTCATGTGGATCCAGGGGGGTTCAGGGATGTGTGGTTTTTGGTCTGGGAGTGGGAAATATTAAATTTTTACTGCTAAAAACAATCTTCAAAAACACAATATGATTAATTTTGTAACTGACAGGGGCCCATTTTTTAAAATTTTACTTCTATGAACAAAAAATAAATTGTCGGTCAGGGCCCTTAGAATTGTCATAACTTTTCAGAATCAGAAGAATTTATTGTCATCGACAAAAAGACAACGAAATTGCAGTTTCAGTTACAACAACCCGAGGGGTAGGGGAGAATAGTTGGCTGAGGCCCCGCAGCCCGACAAGTGCCACCCTTGCAGGAGGAAATAGGAAAGATAAGAGGAAAACTTCAGGTATACTGTACCCCTGGTCCTGAGCTTTGGGTCATGACCGAAAGAACGAGGTCCAGGTACAAATGGCCGAAATGGGTTTTCTCCATAGGGTGGCTGGGTTCTCCCTTAGAGAGAGAAGCTCGGTCATCAAGAAGGGACTCGGTGTAGAGGCGCTGCTCCTTCATGTCGAGAGGAGCCAGTTGAGGTGGCTCGAGCATCTGGTCAGGATGCCTCCTGGACGCCTCCCTGGTGAGGTGTTCCGGGCACGTCCCACCGGGACGAGGCCTGGGGGAAGACCAGGACACGCTGGAGGGACTATGTCTCTCGGCTGGCCTGGGAACGCCTTGGGGTTCCCACGGAAGAGCTGGAATAAGTGGCTGGGGAGAGGAAGTCTGGGCCTCTCTTCTTAAGCTGCTACCCCAGTGACCCGACCCCAGATAAGCGGAAGAAAATGGATGGATGGATTTTTTCACAGGTTTGGCTTCAAAACGGCCCCTGACCTGTATGGGTTTTCATGTGAATGATCAAATTATACCTTCGATAGAAGCTTTTCTCACAAGACTGACATGAAAAAGGTTTCTTACCTGTATGAATTGTCTTGTGACGATTTAAAATACCCATTTGACAGAAACTCTTTCCACATGACTGGCACGAAAAAGGCTTCTCACCTGTATGAATTCTCTTGTGCTCGTTTAAATTATCAATTCGAGAGAAACTCTTTCCACAAATCTGACATGAAAACGGTTTCTCTCCTGTATGAATTCTCTTGTGACGATTTAAATTTCTCATTATAGAGAAACTTTTTCCACATGTTCCACATGAAAAAAGTCCCTCACCAGTGTGGGTTCTGAAATGGATTTTCAAGTTACACTGTTGTGTGTAACGTCTCCCACAAATGTCACATTTGAAAGATCTTTTCTTTGTGCCAGTATCAGACTGACTCTCTGACACAGAGCAGCTGCTTCCTTCCTGATCTTTGCTCTCAACCACTGGAGAGACATGAAGGGAAAGCTGCTCTGTTCTTGTCTCTTCTTCACTCATATCATCTCCCTGAAGAGTAGAAGTCTCAATCAAAGCAACAAACTGCTTCTGGACAAGCTGCTCTCCCTCCTGACTGCTGCAGAGGTCCTTCTGGTCCTGTCCAGTTGGTAAAT